GTCTGTGTGTGACTGTGTCTGAAACAAGAAGTTGGTTCTGAACCTGGTAGTGACACCAGTTGTCCTACGACAAACAGATACAACAAAGCTGGCTCTTGTACTAGGTACTGAAACGTATTAGCAGCAGTAATAATCTCAAAATATGTAACAACCTTATTTGTTTGATAAAGGCAGGGTAAGACTGTCTGGGCACGTTGAACTATCTCAAAAAAGAACCTTGACATCCACAAAGGTATGACAAAATTTAGCCATCATATAGATTGCAGCCTGCTACCAAGTAGCCCATCATGGAACACAGCAACCTTTGCAGAATCATGCACACTTAAAATTAAATTTGAAGCCTCGATAATGAACTGAACAAAGGGCTTCAAGTTGACTAACATATATATTGTGGATATAAACATAAAAAAAGCTCAAATTTTCAGATGGTTCATGTAACTAGCACATTACAACTTTCCTCTCAGCAAGCTGCATGAACATCACAGCAACTTCTGAGGGTCCAAAAAATGCAAGTCACAGCAACATAAAAAGCTTTGTTTTGGATTGACTAAAACTAAGAAAGAGCACAAGTGTTTGAACTACATGATAGATTTTGGTTGTCTTCATAGTCCTATGGTGCTTAGCCACTGATGGAATCCTACTTGAATAGTCGAGGATCAAGGCCAGCATGACAAAAAAAAAATACTCAGAATAAAAACAGAAAACAAAAAGGAAATAAATTAACTAAGGATAAAGAGAGCAACAAAGACACTGCCTAGTGAATACCTGCTCATAGAAGGCATTTACTAAAGCCTTGTCAACTAAATTAGTTGAGCTGAAAAATAATGAATTCGCAAGCTTCACTTTTATATTTTCTATATCAGAAAAGTCAAATATCCGCATGAGATCAATGGTGACATCCCACCTCTCCAAAAATATCACAGAATAGACCCACATAATCATTACTGCAGAGGGAGAAGGAAAAAATAAAAAATAAAAAACATATACACATGAAGCATCATTTAAACTTACGGGTTTCTCTTTTTGGGACTAGTGGGTACAAAATTTGAAACTGTTCTAGATCTAGCTTAACTTCGGCATGCTCGTACCAACATTGCTTAAATGAAGTGGCCTAACAATAATATATACAAAAAAAATAGCCATGATAGGATGCAAGAAAAGAAGATAAAAGCATGCTCATAATAAATTTCACTTACAAGCCTGTCCCTCACTTGAATTTGATACATGTCATTTTGATTATAGTATGAATCCAAAAAAGTGAAATATTTGTTCCTCAGATCAACTATGAAAACAAACCAAACTGATTTCCTGTATGTACTACTTCCTGTATAAAGCAACTGTAGCCACTATCACTTTTCTGAAATACACTTGTACCATGCTAACTGAAATTACAGCTGAAATTGAAACCTGAAATTAGAAACTGAAATTACTAATTAAAATTAGAAACACAAATTACTAACTAAAAATAACTGAAATAGATTTAAATAAGATAAATGAACCTGAACCTGATTGCAAAACTGAACCTGAACCTTTACTCAACCTGATTGTAAAACTGAACCCGAACCTTTACTCAATAGACTAGACTAAGACTAAGAAACTCAACTAAACCTCAACCTCAACCTGATTGCTGCAACTAAATTAGACTGAACCTGAATCTATAATGAACTAACACTGAAACTGAATACTGAAATGTAAAACTGAACTTTGATCCAACAAAAAACAACAGGAGCATGCACTAGAAGCAGAAACAAAAATGATAACGAAACTAAAATAATGATGGAAAGAAAACAGAGAGCAATTGAAATAGCAAATACTGAAATTAAAAATGAACAATACTGAATAATAGGTCACTTCATTTAATAACCAAACTCTGGATTGCAAAGAGAATATGCAGAAATGATTGCAAAGAGAATATGCAGAAATTAATAACACTGAAAACTAATAGCTATCAGACTCTAGATTGCAAAGAATATGCAGAAATTAATAACCAGACTCTAAAAACTGAAATAGCAAAAAGAAAATAATAGATACAACTGACAACATAGCTACCAGACTCTAAAAAAAGAAATTGCAAAACAGAAATTAAAAATGAAATTGAAAACATAGCAACCATAAAATGAAATGAAATTGACAACTAGAAAACAAAACTAAAACTGACAAATAGCTAATGAAAGCTAAGGTTTATGGAGTTTTGAAGCGAGGACGATCCATGATCGATTGCTATCTGAAGAAGTGGAGTGGAATGGATTTGATTACCCATTGGCGTCTGCATTGACGCTTCTGACTAGCCCTACTCTGTGTCTTTTGCGTTTCCTTATTCATGTACTCATGTCTATTTCTATTTGTATGATACTCATACTTTTTATTCAAATGATAGACCTCTATAAGGATCAAGTGGCTTCAGGAGCTGCAGTGAATTCCCAGCAAGTCATCCCGGATAAAAGAATCATTAACATCGGCCGAACCATCTTTCCAAGTTGTCAAACTTAAGTTAGATGCTTACTCTTCGTCCGGTGCCTCAAGCTGCTGCCGGTGAGAAGCTAATAGCTACAATTGACAACATAGCTACCAAACTCTAAAAAATGAAATTGCAAACAGAAACTAAAAATGAAATTGAAAACCTAGCTACCAGAAAATGAAAATGAAATTGACAACTAGAAAATTAATCTGAAACTGACAAAAAAATAAAAACTAAGGTAGACAAAACTGAAATTGACAAAAGAATAAATTGACAAATAGATGATGAGAACTAAAGAAGACACAATGAAAAAAAATACAAAGAAAACTAAAACTGAAAGTACAATAAACTAGAATTGAAAGTGACAACAAATAATGAAAACTGAAATTGACAAATAAGTTGCTACCAGCTTAATAAATAAGTTGCTACAGGTTTGCTAGTATATATAATTTGTTGGAAGGTTAATATATAGGTTGCTACACGCTTAATACATAAATAGCTATTACATATATAACATAAATTGCCAGTACATACAAACTATTTTGAAACACATGCATCATAGTCTTAGTTCATAGATCTCATCACAAGTGGCTCAATAGTACAAACCAGTGAAAAAAAACTGAAACTAAAATTACCAGTGACTAAAAAAGAAATTGACAACCAGCAAACAAAACAAATAATTGAGAAAAAAAAGTTATTATACAACTAATATGTAGGATTTATGAATGCATTCAAACCTAAAAGGGTGACTAAGAACTGAAACTACAAAAACGTGACTGAAAACTGAAACTAAAAAAACTGAGTAAAAAACTATACTGAAAACTGAAACTGGGAGGGAAATTCTTTTGTGGCAACTTATGTGTGCAATAGCTACCCTTTTATAACAACTTATATATTGTACATGAGGCAACTAATATACAGGATTTAGGAAGGCGTTCGAACCTAAAAGGGTGACTGAAATCTGAAACTAAAGAAAAGAATGAAAAATGAAACAAAGAAACAATGAAACAAAAAATATCTACCAATTACGAAAGACATTTCAACCTGATACTGAAACTGAAGCACTGAAATAGCTACCAAATAAAAAAATAAAACAATAAAACTTAATCTCTGAAATAGATAATGAAACATTAAAATAGCTACCAAATATCGAAAAATGAAATACGTACCCAAAAAATGATAAATGAAAAGAATATAAATGAAACAATAAGACTGAATCTCTGAAATAGCATCTAATAACAGAGAGAAAGCTAGCTGCAGTGACTGAGCTTCCTTCCTTGCTTGCAATTGCAAAACCCTGCAAGAAACCAATCCTCAACCTCAAGGAGGCGAGGCAAAGGCTACTCCTACTCCTATAGGCTGCTGAGCTGAGGGAGCAAAGCAAAGCAAAGGCAGTAGCTAGTAGCTAGCATCAACCACCAAGGAGAGGGGAATCCTCCATGCCCTCTTGATGGATTCACTGCATTGGTTTCAGCCTCTCTCCCTCCTCCGCTTGCTTCTTGATCTAGAGTGGTAGCTGCTGCTTCTCCTTCTCTTTTTATCTCTTTCTCTAAATCTTCTGCCACATCCATCTGCTTGCTGCCTGATTCCTTCTCTCTCTCTCACACACACACACTACTGCCATTGGTAAATAAAAGCGAGTGAGGAGCAGTGGAGGTGGAGGTGAGGTGCGTATATATAGCAATTAGCTACTTAATTTAGCTAGCACAATACAATACAATGGCCCTGATGAAACCGTGGTGTACTGTTGTTGTCGTGTCGTTGCTCCTTGCCACCATTCTCCTGCTCGTGGTGGCTCCCGCTGCATTGGCCTAGACGTCCCAAACGCCACCGGCGGTGCCTGGATCATCCAGCGACCCATGCCCCGATGTTCTTATTCACCTACCAAGAATCGTTTGGAAGTCCGCTTCTATCAAGCTAAGGATCCAGGATTCAATCTCAACTACTGCTGGTGGTGCATGGATACATAGAAATATTAAGAACACTGAACCTAAACGCAATCTGGATATGTAAAATAAATGACGTCTACTAGCTTGTACCCAGCTTGTCATTCTACAGTTGGATATATATTGGAGAAATTGCTCTGGTTGGGGCTGTGAATTCAAAATGAAGATACCAGTTTCTCTAAATCACTGAAAACATTGGGGTAAACATCACAATATTGCTAACATCTAAGACGCAATATATATGTTCTTTCATTTGATCCTAGTCAAACAGAAGTATAAACTCATTACTAAATAATGCAGTCATATCTTATCCAGGATACTCACCGAAAGTTTATTAGTACCCAAACAAGAACAACTCAAGAAACTGAATCCATTGTCTATTGGATTTTATAAACAGACAACAGAATTCACCGAAAGTTCGTGTGTCATAAACGCAACCTAACAAAATACAACACCAATGGGGCAGGAAGGAGCACTGATAAGGGTTGGATTGTACTCACATCGGTCGTCGATAAATACGAACTGCAGCCGATGCCGAGACGGATGGAGGAAGAAGGATCTGCTACTGAGCTGGACGGACGCTGAAGGAACAGAGGATGTCAGCTGCAGGAGCCCCAAACACGTCGGGGCGGATGCAGAAGGAGGGACGCGCGGGGCCGGCGACCTCCGGCGAGCCCCAGCGGGAGGGGCGCTCGCGGGCTCACGGCTGGAGGGAAAGCAGCCGTCGTGACCGCCGTCGGGGTGGGGGAGGACTGCCATGCCGCCACAACCGATGTTGGGGTCGGAGCCCAACCACGTCGGGGCAGATGCAGAACAAGCGACGATCTGGACGCGTGGCAGAATCTGAGAACTTCCTCTGTCGTCGCCCGCCGCAACTCCGTCCACCATCGGTCGCCGGCTGCGCTTCCGCCAGCAACGCCGGATTCGTTGGCCCGTATGCGCTGTCGGAACAAAAGGGAAAAGAAGCAGCGTTGGGAGTGTTGGCCGCAACATTGGATGAGGGGAGGGGGTGTGCTGGGCCGGCCCATCGCGGCCCAGTCGCTTCTTAGACTTTACGATCCATGAGGCGTACGACGGCATCATGAGAAGGCCGAAGCCCAAGGTGCGTGTGCGTTCGGCGAGTTGGTGGGCCACCTAACATCTTCTCTCTTTTTTTAAAAATTTTTTATTGTGCTCTCCTCACGAACAACTGAGAGACCAGCAAGCCAGCCTGTCGTGGATACAGTCAGTTCTAACATTTCCTCTCATTTTTTATTTTTCCCATTCATTCTTTATTTTCAAATTTAATATTTACATCTTTATTTAACAATTGTTACAAAATTTCCGGATGCTAAAACATCCTAGCGTTAGATAAATGACTCTTAGTTCTACTAGCGATGATGGGAAGCGAGGGAGCTCCGGAAGGAAGGAGGCAACAATGTCCGCCGGAAATATTGGCTATTGAAACGCTCATTGTCATTTATTTAGGTTTTAAATTCTTAACTTGGTACAGGCACTTGTGTTTTTCTAAATATATTTTAGGATCTTAATAGTACTGTGTTTAGGTGGTAGAAGACCTCTTGTCTTTGTTGTGTTTAAAAAAATAGAGAAATTTTGATGTGGGACATCGGAGAACATGGTAAACAATGAAAATTGATGAGTATCATTATGAAATCACGATTATTTGTGAGAGTTCAGATTCGCCGGAAACATTTGTGAAAAAAAAAAAGAGCATTTGCACTGATTATCGGTTTTATTCATTGCCCGTATGCGATTTCGGAAGAAAGAAAGAAGCGTTGGGAACTCGGACCTCGGAAGTGTATTTTCAACCATTTGTCTTGGAGTCCAGCACGACCCACCACTTTGCGATCCATGAGGCGTACGAAGGCATCATGAGAAGGCCGAAGCCTCCTGTGCGTTCGGCGAATCCCACCCTAACATCTTCTCTCTTTTTTCAAAAAAACACCTTTTAGAATGAGACCACAAGCCAGCCTGTCGTGGATACATCAGCTATCATTTTCTCTCACTTTGTATTTTTCCCATTCATTCTTTATTTTCAAATTTAATATTTACATCTTATTTAACAATTGTTACAAAATTTCCGCACCAACGCGCGGGGTATCATCTAGTTACCTAAACTAGGAAGGAAGGAGGCAACAATGGAAATATTGGCTATTGAAACGTAAATTTATTTAGGTTTAAATTCTTAACGTACAACATCATGGAAGGAAGCATAGGATCTAATAGTACTGTGTTTGGTGGTGAAGACCTCTTGTCTTTGGTGTTTAAAAAATAGAGAAATTTTGATGTGGGACATCGGAGAACATGGTAAACAACAAAAATTGATGAGTATCATTATGAAATCAGGATTATTTGCCGAAGACATTGCAGTGATTATTTTATTCATTGCTCAGATTTCAAGAAAGAGAAGTTCGGAAGTGTATTTTCTACCTTTTCTTCACACTTGATGTGAGACCGTGACCATCATGAATCCCCCCAACGCCTTCACAAGATTAGAACGCTCCACATTGCGGCGATCGCCACATCGCGCCCCCATGACCAATGCGGATAACATGGTGGATGAGGATGAAGTGGCGGTGGCCTAAGACGGCCTCGTGCGATGGCACATTGAAGGGAAAGGAGGTGGGGGCCAGGCGGAGGGAGGTATGTCATTTCACACTTGATGGAGACGTGACCATCATGCCAAACGAGAGATGAGGACAAGGAGAGGGGCGATGTTGGAGGGATAACATGGTGGATGAGGATAGTAGAAGAGGGTGGGAAGGAGTGATTTGGGCATGGGCGTGCTTAGGGGTGGGTGCATTAGAGGTGGGCAAGCGTTACATAGAGCAAGAGCTAAAGGGATGGGGGGAGGACAAAGGGTGTTCATCAGGCATTGGAGGGGCAAGCTGGAGGTTGAAGATAGGGAGGGTAGAAAAGACATTTCTGGAGGTTGAAGATTACATTTCCTACCTTCTCTCTCTTGAAATAAGAGAAATGAATAAAAGAATCGGTGCAATGTCTTAAGGTAAATAACAGTGATTTCATTATGGTCCTCAATAAATTTCATCGTTTGTGGTGTGAATTGGCCAATACCATGTTTCTCTAATGTCCCAGAACAAAATTTTCCGAAAAAAATATTATAGGTACAGTGCGCATTACAAAATCTAATTTCTATCCGATTTCTTTACTTAGACACCCAGCAAAAAGAAAATAAGGAACTCCTTATTGATTTATGTGCCCTGTATATACAAAAGCAGATGTAAGCAAAGCCATATAACTACCTCATGTACTACAAAACCTGGTATCAGAGATCCTCTAACTATTGAAAGCGGACAACTTTGTCCTCTAGCTAATTTATTTTAAATAAATACCATTTTTTGTTTTTTTAAAATATTTATGTATTACTGTGACCTACTTTGGTTAACTACTTAAGTTGTATTTTTTGGAACTTTATAAGTTGGAACATAAATAAATAAGTTCAAATAACTTTACAGAAACCACTAACATATAGACAGCATTTCTAAGAACAAATGGTACTAGTTTTGTCTTTTTATGATTAAAGATAAATTAGTTATATTTTTCTAGAGATAAACCAGATTTTTCATTATTTACAAATATAAAAAACCAAATTTGGAACCAACTAGACCAGCAAATTTGTTCGGTTTTAACTGTTGGAGAGTGTTCAATACCCAGGTTCAGAGTTCATTACCGAAAATTAGATTGTCACACAAGTTGTAGGTTGTAAAATAAACTTTTACCTCTTTACAAAACAAACATAGAAATTTGTGACCTGTGTAACAGTGATACACTTCAGATGATTTAGCAAATTGTATTTGTAATAAAGCGCAGCTCGGAAACTTGGGTGAATTCTGTAATTTATTGAGTGGAGATGGAAATCATGAGGCTCAAAAAAAAATGAATGAAATTCATAGTAGGCTTCTCTAAGTCCTAGAGTTCGGATCCAATGCACTAACTTAACAGGCCCTCGTAAAAATTGATCCATGTATTGCTATTTTTAGTTTCTTACCGATCACAGATTGTACTTGCACTTGGACATGTATACATGCTGACATACGTAAAAAGATGGTGAATGAACAGGGAAGAAAAGTCTGTACACAATTACAAAGCCTACGCGGCTACGCAGAAGAATGCCGTCACCAACAAATTGGGAACAGATCAAGGCTGGCCATGGCTGTTTGCTCTATTATCTGCACTTTCTGCAGTCACCATGCTCCACCCCAAGCTGTGGAACAATGCTTTGAAGCGAGGAGCTGAGGTACCTGAAATCATTCTCTTCTCCAAACTCTTCGATTCATCAAGGAGACGAGCCCTGATCCTCTGATCAACCTCACGTTGTGCGATTAACGACTGATTCATCCAAACTTGCTTGAGGACGAGCACTTCACTCCACTCCACAACCGTGTCATGGCTGGATTCATGTCTTGAAGGAACTGTTAGAGCTGGCCATGGACTTGAGGTCCTTGTACGGCCCCGGCACAAGCTCCTGCTCCATCCCGGCCCGTTTCCTCTTCCTCTTCTCCCACATCCTGTAGCCCCAATACGCTCCGGCCGCAGCCAGCGCCACGAGGACCAACGACAGCACCACGGTCGCGGCGGTAACGCCCGGCGACATGCCTCGCCGCGCCGAGGCCGAGCTCGCAGTCGCCGCCGACTTCCTGACCTTGAAGTAGCCCACCATCCGGTCGTCGGCCTGGTACACCAGCGTCTCCACGGGGAAGTCGATGAGGTAGCAGTACCTGCTCGCGCCGTTGTACACCGCGCCCCAGCAGGTGCAGTTGCCCGCGCACGCCAGCTCGCACCCGTCCGCCGTCGTGTTCGTCTGCAACGGCAGCTCCTCCTTGTACGCCACGGACACCCGCGTCCGCCGCACCACGTCGAACTCCAGCTGCCGCGGCCCGTTGCTGCAGAGGTCGCCGGTCTCCTCGGCGTGGCACGGCGGGGAGCTGGTGCTCGTGCCGTTACTGTCGAGGCACTGGCACTGCACGTTCCCGGGGACGCACAGGCCGTACGCGCCGCACGACGTCGGCAGCTCGCACCGCTCCGCGATCGCCTTGTAGTCCGACGTCCACGCCTTGGCGTCGCTGGTACAGTAGTACGCGCGGAGGTTGCCGTCGTTGTCCAGCGTCATCCGCCGGAAGACACCGGCGAGGGTCAGGGCGAACGTGTCAAACGACAGCACGTCCACCCTCTGGCTGCCACCGCCGCCGCTGCTCTCGAGGTACAGGCCGAAGAACCCGAGGCCGTCGAGGCGGCCGTAGATCGGCGGCGCCGTGGCGTTCTCCGGCTGCGCCTCCAGCGCCGTGTGCTTCCAGTACATGGGCGTCGCCGTCCGGCCGTCGTCGAACTCCATGTGCAGCGCCATGTACGTCTTCCCGAGCCGCAGCGCGAAGCGGCGGTTCGCGGAGATGAGCGGCGGCGACGAGGCGGTGAAGTTCTGGTCCACGACGAGCGTGTCGGACGGGTGGTCGAAGCTCTGCCACGCCGGCAGCGGCCTCGTGTACCGCTGCACGACGAGGTTGGAGGAGTTGAGCAGCGCCACGACGTCGCCCGCGGTGTTGAGCGTCCGCCACAGCACGGCGCCGTCGTGGGCCGTGAGGACGAGGCTGGTGTCGAAGGCGAGCGTGGCCGGGCGCGACCAGTCCCCGAGGTTGGCCGGCGTGGCGCGCCAGACGGGGACGGAGGACGGGAGGTGCACCACGGCGAGGTCCAGCGACGCCGGGCCCACGCGGAGGAAGCCCAGGGCGAAGGCGGCGCTGGTCGCGTACAGCAACGGCTCGAACGACGCCGCGGACCCGGCCGCGTGCGTCGCGGTGAAGCCGTTAATGAGCTGCGTCGTGAGCTCTTCTTCTCCCTTGGCGCCATCGACCGGGAGCACCGCTGGCGATCCCACGCAGAGGAGGAGGACAACGACAGCGGCGATCGCCGGATCACACTTGCCCTGCCTCATCGTGGAGAAAGTCAAATGTTCGAGAGAGTGTGCATACTAAATATGTGCATTGGGATTGGGAGATTGGCATAGGCATTTTGGGGAAGGTCAACGGTGTGG